GTCAACCGACTAGATAGGCGGGATATAAATAAAATAAATAAATAAATTAATGGCCCTTTGCCCTGACATCCTGGTTTTTCTTTGGACCAGGTGCTTGTCTAATACTTTTGGCCATACACAGCAGTCCTCCAGTCCTCAGGAAAACATAGGTGTTCCCCTTGCCCAGCCTCCGAGGATAGCCAGAAGTCTTGAGTTGGACCTGTGGGCAGTAAAACATTTTCAGGGCTCTGATTCACAGCAGGAATGGGGGGGGCGTGAGAAGAGGTGAGCGGGTGTGGAGCAGGTGGAGGCGAGCCAAACTCTTGGGAAAAGGCTGCTGTCATTCCTCATCCCCTTCTTGCTTCTCTCGGCTGCAGGAAGACGCGGCGTTCCCTTTCTGAGTCTGGGACCACGGAGTCGTCCAAGGCCTCCCATCCGCTGCCTCGTAAGATGGAGTCCCTGGAGAGTCTCTATTTCACACCCATTCCCACCCGCACCCGGTCCAAGCTGGAGAACAGTGTGGGCTCCGTGAGCGACGTTTCCTTCGAGTCAGGGCGGAAAAGCGTCTCCGGCCGCCGGCGCACCACACAGGTCATCAACATCACCATGACCAAAGTAATGTGGGGGCTGCCCTGGGAGGGAAGCAGAGGTTGGTGTCCAGCCGGAGGCCATCTGGCGGGTGCCCAGGGCCACGCCATGCACAGATTTTCCCTTCAGAAAGGGGAATCTGTGGCATGTTGGGGGCATTCGGAGAAAGAATCCCCGTGGCCCGGGCGTGGGGTCGAGCCTGGAGAAGGGCCATGTGACTGGTCATTTCCAAGGTCTCCTGCACCTGGCCAGGTCCTCAGTTGTACAGAAGGGACCGGGGACGAGCAGCCTCGTGTCTGTCTGCCGCGTGGTCACAGCTCCACCTGGGGCAGGGCGGCCTGTCGATGGGGAAGAGGCCTCAACTGGGGGCCCTCTTCCTTGTGCTCACCCTGCTTGTGTGCCTTTCCCACAGAAGCACACTGAGCCGGTGGCTCCCAGCAGTGCCAACGAGTCGTTCTTCAGCATAGAGTCCCCGGGGTCTCAGGCCAGCCACGAGACGGTCAAGACCCGCCTGCGCTCTGCCACTTCTGCCTCCACGTGCTCCCTCACCAGCCTCCCCTCTCAGGAATCTCTCCCTCGGCTGGGTGCCTCCTCCCCCAACGACGCTGCCAGCAACGCCACTTTGATGAGCCTGCCGGGCTATCGGCCTGCCACCCGCAGCTCCGCGAGACACTCGCAAGCGAGCATGGGTGAGTGCTGCCAATGGGTTCTGGCTGTGCACCTGCGGGCTCGGCTCAGGGTGCCTCTTCAAGAGCAAGGACACGTTGCCAGTGTTTCTTTCATGAGCAGAGTGGTCGAGAGGGTGGTGGCTGACTAGCTTCAGGCACATCTGGATGAAACGGATGCCCTGGATCCATTTCAGTCGGTCTTCAGGCCGTGCCACGGTAGAGACGGCATTAGTCGCCCTGTACGATGACTTGTTGAGGGAGGCTGACAGGGGCAAAATGTCTCTGTTGGTCCTCCTCGACATCTCGGTGGCCTTCGATACCGTCGACCACGGTATCCTCCTGGGGAGGCTCTCCGAGTTGGGTATCGGTGGCTTGGCTCTGGCCTGGTTCTGTTCCTTCTTGGAGGACCGCCCCCAGAGACTGCAGCTTGGGGAGAGTATTTCGGCCCCGTGGAGTCTCAAATGTGGGGTTCCACAGGGGTCGACTATCTCCCCAGTGCTGTTTAACATCTATATGAGGCCGCTGGGTGGGGTCATCAGGGGGTGTGGAGCGTCATGTCATCAATATGCTGATGACACCCAGCTCTACATCTCCTTTTCACCAACTGCAGGTGATGCCGTCCTGTCCCTTCAGTGCTGCCTGGGGGCCGTACTGCAATGGATTCAGGAGAA